TTTTTTTTTTTCTTTTTTCTCTTTTTTTTTTTTTTTTTGGTACAAACATGGGGGATAACCTCTGGCAGTAGCAAGGGGGAGCGTACAGTGGATATACATGCTTTTTTTTTTTGCTTTTCTTTTTTTACAAACATGCATTTTCTGGCTTGCCAGTCGAATAGAAAAGGAAAGCGAGGAAAGAGAAAAATAAAAAAAAAACAAGGATCGACGGCCACGAACGCAAAATCGGGGGAAGTGGAACTCGGGCCAGGATCAAGGTCACATTACCAAAGAGGATTGGATTCGGCGGCTGGATCTGGATGGGTTTTCAGCAAAGATGCAGAAAACCAGATCAATCGCGATTTTCTGCACCTCTCCTGAAACATGTCCGGATTCATGCGTTAAGTCCAACCCTCTTGGCTGGTGGGACTTCGCCCCTGGGGGGTGTCACAACATGGGGCGTTGTGGACTTTATTTAATAGGGAAAAAAAAATGATTTTTTTTTATAAGAACATGAACCACCGCCGGAATGGACGACTTGCGCCAAAAAAAAAAAAAAAAAAAAGGAGAGTCACAGAAATCCGATTGGGCGGAGGGGAAAGGTGAAGAGTACGAAAAAAAAAAAAAAAGTATTCAATTTTACTTTTTTGATGTTTTTTCCTCCAGTCCCTCTTTTTTGAAGTTTTTTGTTTCCCCCCCTCCGGTCCTTTTCTTTTTTTTTTTTCCCCTTCCCTCAGAATTCTCCCCCCCCCCCACAGAATCTGGACTTGTTTGCGGCGAGGTGCACAGAATCCGGAGGGAACGGGAAAAAAAAAAAGTTCAGTTGGTGGGTTTTTTTTTTTTTTCCTCTCCTCTCAAAATCCCGATTCGAAATTTAGAAATCGTTCAAATCAAACACCAATTGAACTATTTTCCCACTTCTGCCCTTTTTTGTCCTTTTTCTTTTTTCTCCATTTCCAACTGGATAACTAACTGAAGGAAGAAAATGACTGAAGCCTGGAATTAAAAAAAAAAAAAAAAAAAAAAAAAACCGACTCAAGGACAAACTTCCTTTCTTTGATTCTCTTCTTTTCTTTTTTCATCTTAAGTTCGGAATATCGTCCAATAAAGTTATCGGCAGCTCCTTTTTTTATTTTTCGTTAATAAAATTATCTGCAGTTCGAAACATCGTCCAATAGAATTGAAAAAAGGAAAGGAAAAAAAAAAACAGAACATCGTCCAATTCCCAACCCTTCGTGCTCTTTTTTTTTTTTTT